AGAGGCTGGAGGTCACCGCCTGTGGTCGGGGGATGACCTGTCCGCCCCCACCCGCAAGCCGTCTCCCCTGATTCCCCAGCCGTCCGATCGCCTAACTCACCTCGGGTATAAACAGTCCGATATGTTTGGTATTCAGGCGAAAAGGGGCACTTTTGGGTATCTGAAAGGAAAACAGATTTGTTTGTTCGTTTGTTTTGTAATATAGTATTTATTGTTACCCATCCTAGTCCAAAGGACCCCAGGTGGGGCACAACATCCAACAAGAAAAGAAAACATAATAATAAGTAACAAAATCCAAATCGATATCAAAAATGAAAGACACAAACACACAGACAATGTGCAAGGATAAAACCCCAAATAGAGCCCAAACGACCAGGGTATGGTCAAAAAAGTCAAAATGGCAGCCGTGACGGTACAATCAAGGCTCTGCCGGTTTTTACATGGCTGCCGTCTTGACTTTTTTGACCACACCCAGCAGACATCCCTGCATGAGACAATCCAACAGCTGGGACTAAAAGCACACCCAAATAAAACAGGTTTAACTTGGTTGTGGAATCGCACCAAGGTGGGGGCCGGATGTATTGCTGGGGGAAAGTGGTCCAGAAGGTGGGGTTTGTTACTGAGCAGATGCATCAAGTGTGAGATCCATCTGCGTGGAACATGGATGTGGAGGCATGCAGGCATCCTAAGACCCTCGAGATAAAAAACTGTCTCCACTGTATGGAGATCATACTGGTCTAGTGGAACAGAACCTCCCTGTGAAGGTTGTGGGTTCTCCAACTCTGGAGGTTCTGGAGAAGAGGCTGGGCAGTCACCTCTCACAGGTGGCTCCGCTGGTTTCCCTGCACATTGCGGAGGGCCTGGCTAGCTGACTCACAGAGTCCCTTCCAACTCCACCTCTCTGTGAGATCTGGCCAAGACTTCTTGAAGGCTAAGCCACAGGCAGATAAAGGAGACCCATTCCCACCCAACCAAGCTCTCCTTAATATCCTTTTAGCTTCCAGAAATTGAACAGAGGCCTTGCTATCCTTCAAGGTGATGGACACGTGTTTTGGTTTTTCAGGTTTCCCTGGGAAGACGCTTGATGGAGGGAACCACACCAACTCAGGGTGTGCAGAAAATCTAGCAGGAGGAGAGATGGTCCTGTTGGAGTCCTTGGGGTTCTCTGCATTTGATTGTTTTCTTGCAGACATTTCGTTACCCCTTTCTCAAGGTTCTCCCTTTCTCAAAATGCTAGAACCCAACAGGATTGGCCAGGAAGGAAAACAGTAGGAGGTTCAGGATCAATGAACCAAAATATTCATTCACGGGATAGAATGAAGACCACAGAATTGGTTTCATAGAGGTTGGGCACCAACTCAGGCGGCCTTAAAGGGATGAGCAAATGCTTGGATGGCCAACTTCTAGGATTAGCCCCATTCTCTGCCTCTGGGCTTCCCAAGGCAACTGGTTGGCCAGTGTGGGAAAAAGATGCCCTTTCAGGTAGACCTTCCTTCCGTTCAAGCTAGGATCATCCCTGGATGAGCCTTACCATCTTGTCGGTGCAGTTCACCCGTAATGCCCTTCCAGTGAAGTATACAAAAGCTGCTGAGTTGACCAAAAAATCGGAGACCCCCAGAACAATCATGGAGCTTGACTGGTTGGGGAGGAAGAAGGGGGTGGGCAGGAGGGGTCTTCTATAGGGCTCTTCCACCAAGAAAAATTCCCCCTGCAAGACAAGAGGAGGAGAAATGGTTAAGCTAGTCCTTTCTCTTTTGGAAAGGAGGAGGAACCAGTTGAAAACACACTCAGCTAAGTTCCCCTGACCCGACAGTCCCATGAGTGACATTCTCCACGTTGCCAAGAAGTTTGTGTTAGGCCTGTGAATATAAAGAAAATGCCTAACCATTCTACCATGGAGTAGGCTGGGTATGGCGGAAGCACCTACTGCTTTCATTTCCTTCAAGGTTCTCCTCGTCTGCTCTTTCTCCTGCTTTAAATCCACTGAGCCAGTTTTACTTCTGACCCAAGTGGAGTTTGCAAAGTTCTCAATTCCCTGGATTCAGCTGACCCATTCAGGCCCTCGACTAGCAAAGCTTACCCTGCGTGTGAAACACGGACAACGTTATGCTCGAAACCCATTTTTTCCACTGGATTTCATTTCATAAGCCCCAGGGGCAAAGACAGCAGTGTCCTCAGGGGGGCTGAGGCACGTCGGCAGATGGAGCATCATGATGGTAGCCACCTTCACTGACTTGCCGACTGGAGATGCCACTGGGCAGAGAGTTTTTTTAAAAGAAATCAAAGGATCACAGAGCGACTGAGATGAACTTGAACGCTGTGCCTCCCCCGGGGGATTACCTTGAAGTCCAGATTGCATCGATCCTCCGTAATCTCTGGTTTGCTCACCAAGGAGAAATCAATTCCTCCAATGGAGTCTATCTGGGCCAAAACTAAAGAACAAGAGAAAGCAACATTCAAGCACTGACCAGGGCCTGGGCATTCTCTCCCTCAAGGAGAGGAAGCTGGTTTCGAATTTGATCATAGCTGGTCTACTCACAGTTGATGCTCCTCAAATACTGCGCAAGATGGTCAACTGATTCTCTGAGCTCTGAGCACACCTGGAAGGGAAGCAAAACCTGAGCATCAAGAGGAAGAGATGGCCAGCAGAGGGAAGCATGGCCTTTTTCCGTTTTCCAGCCTCTGATGTCCTCCAGATGCGTTGGAGTTGACTCCTAAATTCCCAACCAGTGAATTGTCATCATATCTGGAGGGCATCCATGTGGGGGAAGTTTCCGTTATTTGAAAAGCTATTCAGTCCAACCCTGCTTTAAAGAGAAACAATGTGGTATAACAGCTACAGCATTGGAGATCCGTGCTCAGAACCACCTTCAGCCATGGATACGTATTGGTTAATGGAGCACATGGCCAGTTTCATCCTTAAGAGGAATCGTCAGACGTACAAAGCCAGATATTATTCTATGGGGTTCAAACCCAGGACCAGGAACTGAATTCACAGACCTTCACATTTTAGATGACTATTCAGCAGTGTTTCTCAACCTTGGCAACTTTAAGCTGTGTGGACTTCAAC